TTGAGTCTACCCAGATGCACCTCACCCCATTTCCTAGAATAAACAAAACATTGTTTTTTGTAGTATTATGTTAAAACAAACACTCATAAATCAACAGAGTTCAAATTAAGGGATGCCAAATGGTCTGTTTACTGGCTGGGAAGATGGGGGGAGGGGAGGAGGTGAGGTTATATGTTTGACAGTTGATGCCAAGGTCTAGTGCTTATTTATTTATCTGTCCTTAGTGACTTCAAGTTTTTCTCTTATAAAATCTCACTGAACTGACATGAGAGAATATAATTAACATTGCTGGAATTCTTATAAGATAGTGATTAATTTGAATATAAACATGCTATAGCTCGCATTAGACATACAAATTTCAGTTCTAATTTAAGAATTTTAGTACAAAGAGCAAAAAATTTTATCACTTGTGTAAAATGTATAATGTTTATATTCAAATTATTCACTGTCTTGCAAGGATTCCAGCAATACAAATTATATTCTCCTAACTTCAGTCTGTGACATTATATAAGATAAAAGCTTTCAGCCTAAAACACCAAACCCTGGCTGGGAAGATGGGGGGAGGGGAGTGATAGTGACATGTTTGACAGTTGGGGCCGAAGGTCTAGTGAAGTATTTATTTGTTTATTTATGTCCTTTAGCTTGAGTTTAAGTTTTTTGCTTATACACTGTCACAGAAGTGACCGGGAGAATGTAATTTACATTGCTGGAATTCTTATAAGATAGTGATTAATTTGAATATAATGATGTTATAGTTTGCACTAGACAAAAATTTTAGTAATCATTTAGTATATTTTTTTTTGTACATAAACAGTACAGCTTTGCCTTTAGCACAGTGCAGTGTGCCCAGAAAAACATTAGGTGCAAAATTTTAAATATGATGCCCTGGATTGACTAGCACAAAATAGGAAAGATTTGCTATAAATTAAAACATTGTCCTTAATTGTGGGTGTCGCTTTAAATCAATAATCTTAAATTGAATCGCTTTAAATCGACATTCTACTGTACGTCAACTGCACCCTCCACTGTTTTATACTAAGTTTGTGTGTATCCGAATATGATGTATGAATGGCATTAAAAACATCTAATATAATGTAACAATAACTATAATAAGTAATAAAAAAAACCTACAAAAGTTAAGTTTCTACCACACCAAAATACATCAGTCACCTCTCACATGACTGCACGCTATGCCATTGTTATACTGTAAGTAATCACAGAATTTGCACAAGTCATCTCAATGTGCCAGTGTGCCTTATGACTAAGGAAAATTATATATATATATATATATATATATATATATATATATATATATATATATATATATATATATATATATATATATATATATATATATATATATATATATATATATATATATATATATATATATATATATATATATATATATATATATATATATATATATATATATATATATATATATATATATATATATATATATATGCAAGTAAATCACTGTAGGTGTACGTGATCTAGGTACATGCTGATAACCACAAGGATAGAAGAAAACACGAAGTTCCCAAACGCTTTCGTGTAATTCACATCTTCAGGGGTGAGTACAGACTAAAGAGAAGTACAAAACAAGGTGTATATACAGTATACAGAGGCGGGTGAGACCAGGTCCACAATGGTCAGGTATTAGGTAATGACCCTACTAATCTTTAAATAGCACGGCACTGGTCGGTAGTCAGGTCAGAAGGTAAGGTGACCCAACCTTCTCACCATTTGTAACCAGGTGAGGAGGTTGGGTTACCTTACCCTCTGACCTGACTACCAACCATTGCCGTGCAGTCAAGTATATATATATATATATATATATATATATATATATATATATATATATATATATATATATATATATATATACACCTAGACCCCGACTTACGACTACGTGGACTTACGACCGTCGGGACTTACGACCGCCTCAGATATAGTAAATGACACACGCATTTTCTATACCGAAACGTTTCCAGTTAATGTAATCTCCATGTATAATTAGAAAATTATGGGGGCCCCATGTGCATTCAGCTGACTACATTAAAGGTTAAGTGCTCAGTCACACTGTATCCATTCCTTATTATTTATTACTTTCACTGTACTGTATCCATTCATCATTATTCATTACTTTTACTGTACTGTATTTCATTGTAGATTTTTTTTTTTTTATCTATGTCGGACTTACGACCTGGATTTGGGTCCCTAACCCCGTCGTAAGTCGGGGTCTAGGTGTATATATATATATATATATATATATATATATATATATATATATATATATATATATATATATATATATATATATATATATATATATATATATATATATATATATATATATATACAGTACTGTAGATATAAAAGAAAGATGGAGTGCATCTGAGAGTAGCAGGTCGTTTGGCAACACACCGTACCTCACCTGACTACTGTATACATTACCTGACCATGTACATTTAAATCAGTGTTACAACACCCAAAAATTAAGTTTAGAAACTTAATTCAGTTCTTATACAATGGAGGGTTTGCATGTAAAGAAAAGGAGTGAGAAAAAATTACAAAACTATGTGTGGGTGTGTAGCCAGGGGAGAGGAGGTGGCGGATGGCAGAGGGAGGGAGGGAGTGCTGGCTGGACTGAAAGGGCCACTCACCTCCCGTGCTTATCAGCCCACAATCCCTTTATAACGTTGTATGCTATTTTGCCTTAATTCCCAAATCATTTTGGTTCATTTTTGTGGTAGGTTAATATAACATTATCATAAAATAATCAATAAACACCAATGCTACACAACATTATCATAAAATAAACAATGCCACACTTATACAGTACAGTACTTGACACTTTCAAAACATACGAGTACATAATTATATAAGGTGGTAAAGGACGGTTTTCTTATCATGATGATGAATTCAAGACACAGCAAGTCAGTGAACAAGAATATTTCCTTTCCAAGCTGTAAAATGGTCTTCAGGCCAAATATGAAAGTAAAACCATAGATTCTGCTCAAAACAGGTGTTCAGGTACAGTTGCCCACAGGTATAGTGTTCCACCCCTCAGTGGCCTTTCCGAACAAGTGGCAACGTCGGAATCACTTTATGAATGAATCGTTAACTTGAAGACAGCAGTTGTGGAACACTATACAGTACCTGTGGGCAAATGTACAAGGGATGATGAATGAGGGGCAAAATAATGGTCCAATCTAACAGTAGTACTCTACTTCTCACACCTGGTACAGGTTTTACAATTTTAGGGGTTGGAGAAACTGTTGAGAAATAATTTACTTTGATGACTTTGGTGAATAACTCGTTGAACTTAAATTGAATATATTAAAAATACTTATCAATACACTCATCAGAGTATACAGTAAAGTACAGTATATCCTTCATGGTTTTAACAATTCTCATATGTCACTGATGAACATAGAAGAGAATAATTCAACAAGATTGGATAGAATATTGTATGGTACTATTTGACACATTACCAAAAAAAAATAAACTGAACAAAAACTGTACAATTTCCCTACAGGGTATTTCATTTAACACACACCACTTGCAAACACAATAGCACGAGAAAATATGTTTAACATAAGATTCTGGCAGGTTTGGGAAAGCATAATTCAACACAATTGTTGAATTGACAAGTTTCTCCAAAAATCTCTCACTACACTATGCTTTCTCAGGTGATGGATTTAATCTATAGATAGTTTAGTGCAATTTAAACTAACACGCACGCACGCACACCCAATTCTACATAACCCAAAGATCTTTAACTTCCAATTTTTATCTAAAATATGTCTGGTACAGTGCGGTATAGTAAGAGTATGCCAAAACTAAAATTAGTAGTGTACCATACTGCATTTGAATGTGATGAAATAACTTATACTGTACTTTTTATGATGTTGACATAAAAATTATAACCATTACAAAACATATTACAGGTTGACAACCCTTTATCCAAAATTCCAAAAACCGAAAACCTCTGAAACCTTTTTTTTTTTAACAGGGATCAGACCACCCGGGCACAGGGCACTGACCCACATTGGGGCCTGGGGGAGGGCAAAAATTAATAATAATAATAATAATAATAATAATAATAATAATAATAATAATAATAATAATTATTATTATTATTATTATAATTATAATTAAAATAATAATAATAATTATTATAATTATAATAATAATAATAATAATAATAATAATAATTATTCATAGTAAATAAATTTTTAATAAAAATACACAAAAATAAAATAATAATGATAACAATAATAATAATAATAAAATAACAATAATAAAATTAATAATAATAATAAAATAACTAATAAAAATAATAATAATAATAATAATAATAATAATAATAATAATAATAATAATACCAATAATACTGTAATAATAAAATAATAATAATAATAATTATAATAATAATAATAAAGAAATACAAGAATGAAAAATAGATCAAAAGCGAGAAACACGACCTAGACCTATGAATTATTATTATTGTTATTATGATTATTATTATTATTATTATTATTATTATTATTATTATTATTATAATTATTATTATTATTATTATTATTATTACATTTTAGCCCCAAGGCCCCAATGTGGGTCAGTGACCTGTGCCCAGATGGTCTGATCCCTGTACAGTATATATATAAAAAATAAATAAATAAATAAATAAAAATAAAAAACATTCTGAAATCCGAAAAATTCCGAAATCCGAAATGCATCTGGCCCTAAGGATTTTGGATAAGGGTACTACCCCTGTGTTGCCATGGAAACTTTAAATTATGTTATCACATAAATATCGCCTTATAGTGATATGAGTGAGATATACTGTACTGTATCAAACTTAAAAAATACATACAGTGTACAGTACAATACACTGTATGGTAAGTTAAAGACAGAATTACATATTACTGTACAAGAATCACAGGAAACTTACAAATTTCAATAATTTTTTTTTTATTTTTAACACTTACATAACCGGAAATCATGGGTCATCCTAGGCTAGGGCCACAAGATTACTGCAGCAGCCCTCATGGTGCCACTTTTGCCTGGACTCCCTCATGCTGAAAACAAAAATAAAAATAGAAAACTACAATGTAGAGCATTTTTTTAAATAATTTTCCAGTAAATCATGGGACTCTCAAACAACACAAAATCAAAAAGGCATTAAGTGCAGTACAGTATAGTCCAGCAGAGGCCCCAACACATGAGGAGTTAGTAGACTATCTCCACTAGCTAAATCCTTCCATACTGTACAGTGATGTCACTTTTAATATTTTATTTGGCTAACACGCCAGGCAATTTTATTCAAATGAGGCCCCCCCATACACTAGGGATTAATAAGGGTTAATGAGGAAACAAAAGAGAATAACTGGTTACTATAATATGCATAGACCCAGATGACAGTCAGAGGTAGACTGAGGCAGTAAGCTACTGAATGCAGGCTGGTGTGATGACACTGAGTAACGATGCAGTTTGTTTTCAAACTAAATGAAGTTTTCATAAATGGTTCCTCATGCTAAGGTGTGTATGAAATTGTGTTAAGCTGGGACTACCAGTTTTTTATCCTCCGATATACAAAGGAGCTGCGTTCTTGGATGTACTTTCATTAAGTGAAAACCTACAATATCAAATGGTAGAACCAATGTATTATTGAGGGTTACAATCAGGGGAACAAAAGTATAATGAATGATACAGCCCATGTAATACAGTTAACCCTCACTTTACGCGGTCCCACATTCCGCGTTTCCACGTTTACGCGGTGCCCTGCCGGAACCCAGGATGCTCACATTCCGCGGTGCGTGTACCCCTTTACGCGGAGAGCGGCTGGCGAGCCGCACCATTTTTGGATCCAAACCTCCCGCCACCCGCCATGTTGTGTAAGCTGCGCGAACATGGTGCGCACAAGGTCGCCCAGTCATCAAAACATTACCAGTTCTTCACCCGCCACCCACCACAGCCGGCCCAAGTCAGTGATAGTGATAATTATGGTGAGGATATGGACTTATATGGACTTTGGGGAGTTTGACAAAGAGGCCCTGCAAGCCTCTGTGGTGGATAGTGATACAATTGATACAAGTGACACAGGTGAGGGCCAATAATCTGCCCTCTGCCTCGGAACCAACCGCCCATCCCCGTGTGCCCAGCCATTTTTTCTACTACAGTAATGTAAGTGTTAAAAAGCCTAATATTATTGATATTTCTCTTAATTATTAATTGTGTGTGCATACCATCATAAAGTTTAAGATAATATTTTTACTACAACATAGTTGTGTGTCGTCAAAAAGTGGAGTTTGGGGATCGGCCCGGACTCCATTTCAATTAATCCCATATGTTATGTTATTCACTTTACGCGTTTCTCACTTTACGCGGGACCCTCCGGGTTACATTAACCGCATAAAGTGAGGGTTAACTGTACTGGGAATTATGTTCCAGGAATGGAAATGTTGGTCATCTAAGTTTTTTCTTTTTTTTTTTACAAATTTCACCACTGTCCTCGAAAAATAATATTAAAGAATAAAGTCAATAAAATAAATGAACATTGTACAGGTGTAGTAAAGCATAAATTCATCTCTGCATGTCCTGGATGACAATCTTGACCACATGACACCTAAAGTTTCATATTCTTTAAAGAAAAGTGTCAAAATGCAAATGATATTCGTTAAAGCAAATGTTTACTTTAGATAAAAAAAGGTGTCAAAGTGTGATGTTTGCTTTTGTATGAAGAGAAAAAAAGGTCTTAAAATGTGACATCTGTTTAAAATAATTTTTCTTTTATCAGGCATGTGTATATCGAAGGATAACTATACAGTGGGTCCTAAGGTTACAAACGGGTTCCACTCCTGAGGACGTTCTTAAATCAGATTTGTATGTAAGTCGGTACACATGCTATGTGCATACCATACGTACAGAACAATGTTTAAAATCCCACTACAGTTGAGTCTGGATTTACGCGGTTTTCGTTTACGTGGTACTTTGCCAGAAGCGAGATGCTTCATTTACGCGGTAAATGTGGTCATTTACGCGGAGAGCAGCTGGCGGTCTTCTCACGCATTGCCATTTTTGGATTCAAACCTCCCGCCATATTGGGTAAGTGGCACGAGTAGGTTGCGCAGTGTATGTCTTTGTTGCGTTGTCGGTGACGTCATATGACGTATCGGACTGTGATTGGGCCACGCATCCTTACTTCCCTCCCCACTAGCTGTGATTGGTTTAATGTAATATGACGTGCCCTGCCGCGGGAGGGATGAAGCCGTTGACCTAACCGCGTCAGTTACTCTCCTCCCAGTCACCCCGTGTATACTGTGTTCTATTGTTCGGATAATCTCGCTAATCTCGTAAGAATGGCTTCCAATGGACCTCCACCACCACAGAAAAACCTTGCATTACCTGGACCCAGACGCCCTAAGACAAAGAAGATACGACGTGCCCTAAGTTACGAGGTGAAACACAGTATAATACAAGAGTTAGAAAAAGGAGCAAGACAGGTTGATCTTGCACGCCAGCATGGTGTTAACGAATCTACAATCCGGACGATCAAGAAGGATGCAGCCAAGATAAAAGAACACATGAACATCACAAAGTCTGCAGGTGCTTAAATGTTGAAGTACTGCCAGAACAAGGTGCTTCTCAAGACAGAGAATTTACTTGTGAGCTACGCGATTCGTCAGGCACGACGGAACATGGCGGTGGACACGAGGTCAGTTCAAGAGTACACACGTGAACTGTACGTAGCAGTGGCATGTAAGATGGGAATTGCAGAGCCCAAACCCTTCAATGCTTCCTCTGGTTGGCTGCAAGGGTTTAAGAAGAGGAACAAGCTCACCAACAATAACATTGGTGGTGAAAGAGCGAGTGCTGACCGTGTTGCGGCTAGTGATTTTCCTCCTTTCTTACGTGAGATTATGGAGGAAGGACAGTACACCGACGACCAGGTGTTCAACATGGATGAATCTGGTCTGTTTTGGAAAAGCTACCTTCCAAGACCTTCGTTGTCAAGTCTGCCAGCAAGTGTCGGGGCCGGAAGTTGCAGAAGGAGCGCATCACCGTCCTGTTTACCACCAATGCCTCCGGTATCTGTAAACTCAAGTTATCGGTGATCCACACAGCCTGGAAGCCGCACGCCTACAAGAACATGGACATGACCAAGCTAAATGTCCAATGGCTAACCGCAAGTAAGGCGTGGATGTTCTCTGCTCTGTCCCTCTCCTGGTTTGATGACTTGAGTTCCCGACGTCAAGAAATTCTAAGAGCAACAGAATGTTCCATTCAACATTTTGTTGCCCCTTGACAACGCACCAGGACACTCGCCCCAACTGTTGGATCGTCACCCCAACGTAAAAGTGGTCTTCCTCCCAACACTACGTCGTTAATCCAGCCCATAGATCAAGAATTAATTTGTAATGTGAAGGCTGCATTCTCTACAAAGAAGTTTAAGCTCCTGAACGACTGTACCAACACCAAGGATGAGTTGCGTAACCTGGGTGACACCGATAGCGAGAGTGACGAGGACGAGGAACAAGAGTTGGCGGATCAAGAAGTTCGCGTCAAACAGTTTTGGAAGAAATTTAACGTCAAGAAAGCTGTTGACTTCTTGGTGGAGGCATGGGATCGGCTGTCTGTAGCAACAATTCATCACGCATGGCGACATGTGTTGCAAGGTATCCCAGGTGGGAGGCAGAGTCAACCTGTGACTGGAGAGGTTCAGTCTGTTGCAGTGGCAGTGGACCTTGCCAGAGAAGCTGCGCAGTGTTACAGCTGCAGGCTTCTCCGAGACCACCAACGACGACATTATGGAGGTGATAAGGGATTCTGAGGTGACTGCCGACGAGATGTTAGAAGATGATCACGTCAGTGAAGAGACAGGCGGTGCGTCATCCCGAGAAGAACATAAGTTAACGCATGGTAATGTTAAGGATGCCATCGAGTGTGTAGAGAAACTGAAGCTCATCCTTTCCAACGACCCTGACAATAACCGCTATGAAGTCTTCAATAACCAGCTGTTGCACACTATGGAGCCGTACATCAAGGTGTATCACGACAACATCAACACTAGCCGTCAGCCTAACATCGCGGACTTCTTCGCCCGCAACCCACCACAGCCAGCCCAAGCCAGTGATAGTGACTGATGGTGACTTTGAGGGATTTGTCAGGGAGGCCCTGACAACTATGGTGGATTGTGATGGTGATTCACCTGAGGGCCAGTAATCTGCCCTCTGCCTCGGAACCACCCGCCATTCCCGTACGCCGCCCCATCTCTTCTACTAACGTAAGTGTTAAACCAAACCTAACCTTGATTTTTTCTAACCTAACCTAATGTAAGTGTTAAACCTTGATTTTTTCTAACCTAACCTAACCTTACGTAAGTGTTAAACCTTGATTTTTTCTCACCTAACCTAACCTGACATAAGTGTTAAACCTTGATTTTTCTTTAACCTGGTACAGTATATTATTCTCTTAATGATATTTCTCTTCTACATTATGTGTGTGTGCATACCATCATAAAATTAGGATGTTATTCTTACTACAATGTAGGTACTGTGTCGAAAAAAGTGGAGTTTGGGGGTGGGTCCAGTCTCTATTTCAATTAATCCCATATGTTCTGTTATTTCATTTACGCGTTTCTCGTTTTACGCGGTACAACGTGGGTTCAATTGACCACGTAAATGAAGACCCAACTGTATATCATAGCCTACGTCCTTATATACATCTAAAATCACTTAATTTAAGACAAAAGAAAAAATAGAATGACAAAATAATGTAAATGAAAGTAAAAAATAAGTTGTCAGGTAAATAAAATACAGTAAATTTCAAGTTAAACTCTGTTCGTATCGGCGGGCGTTCATAAGTCGGACATTCTTAAGTCGGGACCTCCTGTACAAGGTCAAGAAATTGTGACCCTTTAATGTTTATACATGGTCTAGATTCAAGTACATTATGCACAGTTAAGCAGGGTTACTACAGGGGCTTGACCCAAGCACATCAAGCTCTGTGAGGAGCAAAAGTGTTAGTCTTGAAGTGAAAATGGATGATTTATGGTGTTTTGAAAAGGGGAACAAGGTGT